CCATATTTACGGACAAGCTTTAGCAGATCGTCCCCCAGACACTCTCAATAAAAACATAAAAGACCTCTATAGACGTCTTTGGCAGCCAACGAGTTAATGAACATGAGGGAGGGGAACCCCAGGTGAACACATTAGGTGATCAACACATGACAACACACCAGACATTCCCCCAGACGTGACATCGGGGGGGTGAGTCGTGACCCTGACTCTGCGTTTTAGAGGCTTTGGGAAAGCTTTAAATGCCACGCCACTTCTCCTTAACTGAGGCCGTCCACATTTGCCCCGAAGACATTCGAAAAGAAAATGCCACCCTGAGAAACCTGCCCCGGTCGAGCCGCGTATTCTAGAAATAATCTGTGTTGTCGTGTTTCTTTTCAATGCTCAAAAAGGCCAAAGAGATCAAAATACCAAACGTGATCCAGTGTTATGGAGAGAGCTCAGTAAAAGGAAGGAAGGTAGAAAATAGCTGTTATTCTACATTTGTGGTGATCTGAGATGCCCCGTTTTCAGTTTAATGTCTGACATTAAAATAAATGTATCCTTAGACCGACAGTATTTATTCAACACAACAATCTGAGTAAATCCTGGCTGGTTTTATTGCGGGGTTCATAAGGAACGAGGATCCCAAATAGACGGTCTACAGGAAGTTACTTAGATATGAGATTATAGATAATTTAATTATAGATACTTTTGAATATTCTAGGAGATTTAGTTGCTTTACATATTTTTTTTGTGTTTCTAACCATCAAAAACTGGATCTTTTGAATTTCCCCTTGGAAATCTATCTATCTATCTATCTATCTATCTATCTATCTATCTATCTATCTATCTATCTATCTATCTATCGTCCACAACTGACTTAAAACTGATGATGAAATTTGGAATAAAATATACATTTTTACTCACACCGATTCAGCAGCTAAGAAAAAAAGTACTTTTAGATTTTTTTTAAATAGCGTTTGTTCCTTTAATTTTAAATTTCTAGTCCTTTTTTATACTAATTTCTATTTTTTATAATATTCATAATATCCTATCTATCTATCTATCTATCTATCTATCTATCTATCTATCTATCTATCTATCTATCTATCTATCTATCTATCTATCTATCTATCATGCAGAGTTAAATAGATTTGTGTTGGAGCGTTTCAGAGGTTTCAGTGTAAGAACAAAGATATTTTTTATGGATTTCTGTCATTATGGACATGCACAGTCTCTATAAAGTCTCTGACTATATTCTACTTTAGGTTGACGTGTTGTCCTAATGTCCCTTTGCCCTGTTTGAGTTTAAAAGGTGAGCATGGAGCACAGACATTGTTTTTAAAGGCACTCCCCTCGTCCCGTTGATCAAGCTTTTACAACATAATGGCTGTGTGGAGTTTGCTTTTGCACTAACGGCCGCAGAAACCTGGAGAGAGTTTTTGGCTGTGTAAGGATATTACTTTTACGATCATATTTTCAAAGACAGCTGCGTGAGATCCTCAGCTTCCTAAATCTTTTCCCAGATCCACCCTTTGTCGTAAATAGGTGGGCCTCCCCTCTGAGGCCGTAAAAGCCGGGGGACTTTATCTTTATGGACTGAGAGAAGGCGGTAATTGGGTTAGAGTGGAGGTAGGTGATGATGTAACCCCGAGCAGGTTACACACAATAAAATAAGAGAGGGGAATATAGTCCGTAAGTCAACAAGACAATTGGCCTTCGAGCACAAACTCTGCTCAATGTTGCATGTGTTGTATTTTTGAGTAGAAAATTTGATAACCATCCAAATTAGATGCCACATTG